CCCTCTCCGACGATGAGTGTGAGGTGATAGTCTCTTATGGTTCCCTCTCCGACGGTGTGTGAGGTGGCAACTCCTTTTCCTATGATTCCCTCTCCGACGGCGAGTGAGGTGATTCCCTTTCAGATTATAATGGCCTATGGTTCTAGTTCCGATCCTGCGAAGATGGTATTTCCCACCAAGATTTTTCTCAACGAGCGTTGTTGAAGTTAAAATCACCCAAGGTTCTCTTACCATTCATGCTAAGGCAGTAACCATACCTGGTTCATTCATCATCTTATGAAGCTCCAGACTCAGCTCCTGTAACCAGTCAGGACACATCTATGCCAAGCATCTAAAATCAGCTCCTGCAACGTGTCAGGTACTCATTTTTCTTTTGCAGGTATGCAGGTTCTCGCTAAGGAATCTCCTACGCGATCAACATCCAGATGGCATCTATAAGCCCATCATCCTATTCATCAACCCCCAAATGGCATTTATAAGCCCATTCCCCCATTCATTGCTAGCATGTGAGCGCAAATTTCTGGGCACTCTAGTGTTCAATCATCTTCTACCCTCGGATTACGAAAGGCACGTCAGCCAATCTGCATCCTCAGGTCTAAGAAGATTGAACAGGGGCAACTGTTGTACCCCAAAATTTTCCCTCCCATATTCTTCAAGAAATTGCCAAGCCAAGTCACAAAATTCCCCAAGGGTTGTGCAGTCCAACTGTCTCCTATACAGTCAAAACTAGGGTTTGTGGTCTGATCAAGAAAATGAAGTTTTCAAAGGCCCAATCAAGTCTCACATGCCTACAAAGATGGTCAAGCATCTTCATATCAAGTTTCAAGGCATTCAGCTCAAAATTGCACAGTCAAAACCCTAAATTGCACTACAGTCAACTGTAGGGGCAAAATGGTCATTTGACAGTCAAAAGTTCAAATTTTTTGTCAACATATCATTTTGAAGCCACAAACATCATTTGATCAATGCTTGATCATGATTCTCAAAATTTGGCTAAGAAATAATCAGAGATGCAAAAGTTACCATATTTGGACAGCTGAAAAAGTCAACTGAAATTGACCAGGGCATAACTTTCACATGGATTATCAGAAAAATTCCATCCAAAGCTCATTTTAAAGAGAAAGACATTTCCTACAACTCACCTTCATACTTAAAGTCCAAGAAATGCTCTCACAAAAAGTTATCAATTTCAACATTATAGGTCATTTTCAAAAGTCAACAAAAAGGGACTTTAAGTCAAAGGCCATAACTTGAGATTGGTAAATCAAAATGACATGGGACCAAAGACATTGGTTAAAGGACTCAAAGACATTTCCAAAATGTCCAAGAACATGTGAAAAGCTTAAAAATTGAGCAAGTTATGCCTTGTGGAAGTTGGGAAATTTTTGGGAATTTTGAAAAGTCAACTTTACTTCAAATGACCTAAATTTGCTAATGGGCCCATTTTTCTTCCATGATTCATCATTCCAAGCCTATGCACGACCACTTGGCCCAAAGGGAAGTATTTTCTCATTTTTTATTTATTTATTTGAATTATTATTTATATTAATTCATTTAAATTATTTAAATACATGAAAAATATCAAACTTGACCTAAAAAATCTTTTCATGCATGTTTTACTCTCAATATCACGTGCACATCCCAATATGGCAAGATTTGGTTTGATTTGGCATGATTGAACAAAAATACACTTGAAAAAGATTCAAAAAGATTTTAAGAAAATCAAATATGCAAAATCATTATTGCCATGGATTTGATCAAGTTTTGTTGACCTAATAGCTTCCATACATAATCAGAATCACAAACCTAATGCTAACACACCCTATGCTGCGCAGAGAACTCCATTACAAACTTGGAAAATTGTTGAAAAAACTCAATTCTGAAATCAGTGATAGAGGGCGATTCAAGGCACAAAAGCTTTTCCAATAGCTTCCTCCAGTCTTCCTGATCATATTGCAATCATAAACTTCCACTCAAACGCCAAGAATCGGTACCAGGAACCTCAACTGTATCAAACAAATTGCATAATCATACATTCTATTATATGCGTTATTTGTGAATTTTATTTATTGATTCTTGTTCATATTGAAGTTTCAAAGCTAACCAGCACCTTTAATTGTATTTTTATTGGCCATACACGATGATGCCATGAGTGAAATTTAGGGTTTTCAGGTTGTAATTTTAGGGCTTTTGCAAAGAGGAAAAATCAAAGCTCCAGACCATGACCATTGGATTCAGCGCATTGAGACGAACATGGACCAAGCCTCGCGATTAATTTATGAACCACATAGCGCTAGTCGCTATTTTCTGGAAACACCCCTAAAACCACGCGTTAAAACCGTTGCTGTATGCTCGTGTTTCAGAAAAAAAAATAATAACACGAAGAAGATGCTGCGTTGTCAAAGCATGATAAGCCGGTTTGAAAATTGGCGCGTTAAACCACTAACTCTCCGTTTTCTTTTTATAATATTTATTGTTTATTTGTTTAACAGATGGCTTCGTTGGCTCAGCTGGCAAACACTTAGTGCTTCAACCTCCAAGACCTGGGTTCGAACCCCAGGTCTGTATAATTGTCATATTATTTTTCCATAACGTTTCCCATGCAGCGCTTAGGACAGGACGTACCATATTCCCTCCATCATCAACGTGCCACGTCCACGTAGAGATCAATCTAAAGGTTGAAATTGAAGGGACATCCTGAACTCCAGTCAACGCGTTAGCACACAAACTAAAAAAGGTCAAGCGGATCAAAAAAACTTGCTGGGCCAGAATTTCACATTTAACCTCCATGTTGGGACAGAAAACCCCCCTGGTTTGCTTCTCTATACATTTTTTTTAATTTTATTTTCAATAATGATTTTATTTTCTTTATTTGTTAAATTAATTAATTATTTCTTTACAAAATATAAGAATATACAAAAAAATCAGAAAAAGACAAAATGTAATAAATATTTTTATTTTAATTATTTTCATAAATAAATTGTATAATTGAATTTAGTATAATTAGGGTTTTTTGCAATTTTAATTCTTTTCATAATAAAATATAAAAAATATAGAATTTAGGTTTAGTTGTTAATTTTATTCCTTTTTAAATTTTCCCTTTTTACAATAATATTGCTTATTTTATTTATTTTATAATTAAATTGTACAATAAAATTAGGTTTAAATTAGGTTAAAAACTTTAATATTTTCTTAAAAAAACTTAAAAATAATTAGACTTAGGCTTAGCTTTTTATTTTACTTTTAATTAATTCTTTCCCATTAAATCTCAAAAAAACACAAAAACACCAAAAAAAAACATTCCTTTTTAATTTTTTTTATTTTTTATTCCTCATTAATTCTAATTAATTAAATTCATTAACTTTAATTTTTTGCAAAAGGGTCCAACGCCCTCGTTCGTAACTTATTTAATTCGCGTATTTATTTTCTTTCGCTTAATCAATTATGTACCTCTCCCAAAGCGTTGTAACTTAACTTTTCGCACTTTTATTTGATTTCTTTACTTTCCGTCAAATCGGGTCCGGTTTAATTTTGGCGATGTGGACCCGCGCCATTTGTAATAGCTTTAGAATTTACTTTCCCGCAAATATTTTAACTGTTAAACAAAACATGCAAGAATGAATGGCCATAATAAAATCAAGCGTAGATCACAATGAACATGACAAGACAAATATCAATGAAAACGACACACGAATCGCACACACCACCCCTAGGGTACGCCTCACTGTTGCCTTTCGAAAGGTGATCGTCGAGTAGAGGATGTCTTAGTAAGTCCTCATGATCCGGGAACCTGGCATGAGGGTAGCTTCTAAGGTGTCTTCCCATTGCTCTGGTGATCACCATGTCCCGAACATCGAATTGACCCGAACACCTCCAACGGTGGTGCTACCTACCTCTCAATGGTGGGATGGCACTACTTTAAAGGACATTTACACAGACGAATTCCTTAGGGTAGGTAGGTTCTCGTAGATACTTGCTCTAATCTCAAAACAAACTCAAAAAGACTTTTCACACCAACACATTTTCAAAAGCTTTCAAAGCAAACTTTTCAAACACTCTGACGTACGAGTCGAACTGAAATTTTTCAAAGAAACTTTTTAAACCCACATTGAAAAGCAAACAAACATTTTTTAAAACACATTGAGCAAGTATCTAAGAGCCCATGGATAACCATGGATAGAAAGGGTGCTAACACCTTCCCTTTCTATAACCTACCTCCCGAACCGAGAGCGATCTCTTTAAGGAATTTTTCTGTGCTTTTGTCCTTTCCATTTGGAGAAAATAAAAGACGGTGGCGACTCTTGCTTCCGCGACATTTCGCGAACCAGTGTTAAACAATCAGTGTTAAACAGTCTGGTTGTATCCATCATCGCATCTTCTCTTACATTTAGAGCAGGATCAAACCCGAGTTTTAGGTAGTGAAAACAAACTTTAGAACCTTGGTGGGAAATGACGAGAACACAAATTTATGACTAGACGTTTGGTATAAAAATTTGAGTTTGGTTTAGTAGTTCAACATATTTATTGAGTGACATCAAACTTTGTGCGATAGAGTTTGCATATTCATTCATAATCACGATAAGGTTATTCCTCAATACCTTACTAACCACTTCCTGATCCCTCAGAGGTCTAGTTGAGCAGGTTAAGATTCCTACATATGATATTCTTGATTGTCTAATTTAACTTGACACATTCATATTGCTTGTCTCTTAAAGATGCCTTCTTATTCAAGGAGAAAACTAGAAGCCATCCTCGTTGGGCCAAATCCATATGGATGATTGACATCCCATTTCATCTACATCTTTAATTTTAAAAAACTTCATATTTATTTTTATTTATTTATCAAATTTGTTGGTTCTAAAACCATTTCCATTTTCGCATATTTATTTATTTATCAAATTTGTTGGTTCTAAAAGCACCTTTTGTTCAAATACTTGTCTCATATATCTTGTTTACTCCTCGAGACTTTCAAACACATAAGCAGAACAGTCGTAGCGAAGATGTCGCATTTGCAGTTACAGCTACACTCACAAGCACCATCACTCTCTTCTTCTTCTTCCACTAGTTCTCGTTTTTCTTTCCTTAAGCTTTTCACAAACAACGCTTTCTCTTACTCTCCAACAAACTCTCTTCCTTTCAAACCCTTAACTATCAGATGCCGCCACTCTGACGTCTTTGAAACCACAACCAACCCTTCCTCCACCCCCAACAACCCTTCTGGTATTTCTATTTCCCCTTTTATTCCATTTTCTCTTCTACATGTTCCATTACTCACAAATAAGCCAATAACTAAACCCCATTTTTTTAACGTTTTTTTTGAAGCAAATGAAAACAAAAATGATAAAAAGTATGGATAGTGAAATGGGTTGTGAGTGAAACTAGAGATTTGTAAAGGGTTGTTTGTTGTATGTTTGTTAGTGTAATGGGCTAACTTGCTTTCATGTTTCATGTTTCATGTGTATGTTTGGATTTTCAGTTGGAGCTTTACCACCTAGGGTTTATGTTGGTCATTCCATTTACAAAGGGAAGGCTGCTCTTACTATCACTCCTAGACCGCCGGAGTTCATGCCTTTGGATGTAAGTATCACCGTGTTGGATGAACGGCTATATAGTTTGGTACAAATTGTGGGTACACGTTATGTGTTAAGATGGTACATAGTATTGTTTAAGATCCATTGGACCATCTGTTATTAGGTTTCTGCTGTCGGGTCATCCACCATTTAGTTTCATGGTTCAGATGTTCAGTCCTGAGTGTGAGGTGGTGTGTTAAGAACTCCGTATCATATAATATATGGCTTGGACATGTGTTTTATAAGTGGGAACAATCTTCACTCTCCAAGCTGGTTTTGTAGGGATGAGTTATGCTCAACCATAATTCTTAAGAGTATGAACAAACCACTATTTTTGTGATCCACATTTGACAACACTGACGTATGATTATTTGTTTTAGTTTTGATTCTGCTGGTTATTGTTGGACTGTGCTGTATTCTTTGTGGAGTTAGGGGTTTTGAATGCTTTTAATGTGGAAGGTTTTTGGTGTTTTTTGTAGTCAGGGGCATATAAGATATCTAGGGATGGTTATGTGCTGCTTCAGTTTGCTCCCTCGGTTGGTCCACGCCAGTATGATTGGAACAGAAAACAGGTCAGTTTGTTTGTCTTAAATTGTTATTGCAAGTTCATAAGTTCTTATGTTCTCTGAGAGGATTATGATTGTTTTTTGAAAACAAATGACATGGACTTGTGCCACAATATAACCATTTATGCCATTTGATTAGAATTAGAATACTATGTGATGAATTTGAACTGATTGAGAGTGTTACTCTTGGAGTATGCAACTGTTTTTTTTCTGACAAAACCTCTGATTTGAAAGTCTTTTGTATGTTATCTGTTAGAGTTCTGAGGTTGGTTTTCTTGGTTAAAATGCGAGGTCATCATCTATTTTACTTGAATGCAGGTTTTCTCGTTATCAGTGGATGAAATGGGAAGTGTGATTAGCCTTGGTGCAAAGGGCTCTTGTGAGTTTTTTCATGATCCTTACATGGGAAAAAGGTAGTTTCTATGCTTACTTCCTAAAGATCAGTGTGTTATAATAACCTGTGCCCCTGCAGTCAGATGTCCATGCATAGTTGTCAACTGAGCTGACTTAATGGCACTGACCGCTATGATTCTATATTCATTTAAATCATTTCCAAAATTGTCTTTTATGCAGTGACGAAGGCAAAGTCAGGAAGGTTTTGAAAGTCGAGCCTTTTTCGGATGGTTCTGGATTCTTCTTCAATCTCAGTAACTTTCTTTCTTTAACGAGCCTTAGTTGTGATAACCGAACTTATCTATTTTAGTGCAAATGTCTGCAATATAAATGAAGAGTTAAGTTCATTAATATTTGCTCGAGTACTTATTTTATTACGACATTTTTTGAAGGTGTTCAAAACAAGCTCGTGAACGTGGAAGAAAGCATCACTCTCCCTGTAACAAAAGCCGAGTTATCAGTTTTGAGCGCAATTTTCAAGGTATATTTATCTCCTTCTGACTTCTGATTGCAAAATTTGTATTGCTATGACGCGATTCTCTGGTAGTTCAATGGAAAGATTGTTGTGACAAAACTAACTTCACTTTTTCTTTTGATCATGTTTTTGGTTTATTGTGTGTAGTACATCATGCCGTACCTTCTTGGTTGGCATACCTTTGCAGACTCGATAAATCCGGAATATTCTGTGGCGGCGGCGAGTGTGGCAAGCAATGCCAACCCAAAATATGGAGGAGACTATGAATGGAACAGATAGAAGGGATATGCTATTTTGCTTGTATTACACAACCCTCATCAAACTATGAGCTTCTCAACTTTTGAAATGTCTTAAATGGCTTTTACTCGTTAGATTAGTTGTTTTTAAATCCTGCAATAGTATTTTAGTAAAACTACTAAATTATTGTTTGCAGAATCTATCTCTCTCCATCCCTCGGTAGTGTATTTTACGATCTTCATTTTGTTTTCGTCGCCAACTATGAGGCACGGACACCCCGAACACGACCCCGATATTGATATGGCAACACTAGTAATAATTTGAAAAAATAAATAAATTAAACGTAAGCATAAGTGTCGGTACAGGTATCCGGCATCGCTTGGATTTATCGGTGGAGTAAGGAAGAATTAATTGCATATGACTTTACGTGATTCTATTGTTTCAAAATTCAACAAGTTAACTACATTGCTTGGATTTATCATAGACCGAATTCCGTTTGACTATCTCAAAGTACTTATTTTTAAAGGAAAATCTAGAGTCAAACATCTTCAAGCCATCTCGGGCGAGGTAATAACTAAGCTATCTATTTGTAAAATATATCTTTGTTTTATGATGAGTTATCTATGAAATGTTATTTTATAGCCTCGAAGTCTCTATGAATGATAACTGACCTTTTTAAATAGATTGAATAGTTACATTAGAAATATTAGAAATTTTGTGTGGATAAACAATATTGACCCAAGGAAACTGGCATCCCTCTTGTGGGAGAAAGTTTGAACGATTGCACTCCTATTTCTGCAGGTAGATTTGGTCTAAGGAAAATCAAGAGCACTAATAAAATAAGACGTCTCACTCTTGACTATAACATGATCACAACCAACAAACAATGTGTCATTATCCTTAAAAGAAGATACTTCATGAACATGAATCCTATTAAACATCACATATCCTTTTATTTATTGGTGTTTTTGGTAAACAATCACGAGTTTGATTTGTTTAAGAGATTAAATTTAAAAAAATCTCAAATAAAATTTGTGCAAAAAAGTATCAAGAAAAATGTTGGGTTTTGAGATTTAAATGTTTGAATAATGACAAACTGAATGTAAACTCTAATTACAATGAACTTTGGATAAAGATAATAAAAAGCGTAGTAAATAATATTAAGGTGAATGTTCCAATTAATGAGAATTGGGAAAGTACAAGACATGGACGCATACTCATACATTATCTCACAATTTATTTCTCTCTATGACTAGGATACTTTAGTTCTTTAGAGAATATTTGATGAATTTTGCGACTTCGACCATAATACTAAGATTGAATTATATTCTAATGCAGTATTAACCATCGATAATGATTATCTCTACAGAACTTGACATGTATCCACCTACGCGGGCTTCATCCTCTAACTTACTTCCACGCGTCTTTAATGTTTAACCTGTTGCAAACCAACTATCCTTCTACTGCCTATGAAACTCCCTAATTGCCTATGTTAAAAGTCTCTGATTTACTTCTATAATGTTGTCAAGACATCCTTGGTTTGACTGGCTCTTAGACTAAAAATGTGTTAAGTCTTCAACATCTGATGAACGTGTCAAATTCAACACTTTGTCGAAGGATTTATCCAAACCTTTTCGAGATTCTAGACATGTTTTTAAGAAAAATTGATCCTAATCTTGTGGATATGTTCTTGAGACTCTTCTAAATCAAGCCTAGCACATCAACCGAACTTTCTTAGTCAACGTGACTAGTGTGTCAAAGGTTAGGTCTCTTCATACTTAGTCATTTTCAAACGTAGTTACTAATATTCCATGTTGAATCCTTCAGCTAGAATTTCCAGGCTAACAAATACCCCCAAAAAATATCACTTTCAATCATAGATGTAAGATGGAAGAAATATTATATTTTTAGTAACTGTTCGACACTGTTCAAGATAGCCTACATACGTCATAATCATCATTGTAAGAACAAGATTTGGATATGCGTTTAATCTCTGAGCTTTGATGATAACAAGCATATATTTTCTGAAGAACAATTTTAATTCTAATGGTTTCATTGAGTGTGCAGATACATTATTAGAATTCTAGATAGTCTTAATCAAGATATCATAAGAATCACTTTATCACTCAGAAGAAGAACCATTGAATTTTGTTTCTAACGGAACATCAATAGTTCTATGGAATGTTTAATGTTCAACAAGAAAAGAATCTCAATGAGTTTCCAAGAAGAAAGAATTTCTGATAAGCTGCTGCTTCAAGATCAGAAATCAAGCCTGCACAAAAAATAAGCTTCCAACACAGAAGATCAGAAGCCAAGATTTGTTCATTAGAAGAGCTGATGCTTGGATTCTAAAGACGAAGTCAAGATTCTAAACACATGTGAAGAAAGATTCTACTCCAAGATCAAAAGTCAAGATTTGTTCATCAGAAGAGTTACTGCTCAGATTTTTAAAGACAAAGTCAAGATTCTGAAGACTCGGAGAGTTCATGGAATACGCACCTTCATTCAACATCAGAAGTATTCCATCATAAGAAAGGATGCAAAGAAAGAAAGATCTTGTGGACTCATATCTAATTAACATTTCAAAGTTCATCAAAAGACAGGATCAAAAGATGATATCTTCTCAAGTCAATCTACTCAACAAAAGTAATATTTGTCAGAAGACAAATATGATCAGAAAGACCAATGCACTAAACATAAGAAATATTGTTACCACTTATATAGAAACATCAGCAGTTCTAAGCAATGTTGAATGTTCATCAGAAAGGGAATCAATCCAAAGAACAAGAGATTAGAAAGAAGAAATTCAATGTTAAAATCAGATGTACTGATATAAGTTGTTGCTTCAGAAATCAGACATCAGATATGCAGCTCAGAAAAGCTCATTATTAAGGTATCAAGACAAGGTTAAGATAAAGTAGATCAGAAGAGCTTTCACTCAAAGAAGTTGTTCATCAGATATGTTATTGCTTATATATCTGAAGACAATGTTCAAATATATGAAAGACTGTGACTCTAGAACAAAGAAGAATTTTCTGGATCACTATCACTCCTCAATCATAATCAATTCAGCAAGAAGAAAAGAATCAAAGCTCAAGAATTCAAAGACTTGTGAATCAGATAGGCTGTTGTCATAATATTTGATTTCAAGGTTCGTCATCAGAAAAGCTTTTGATATCTTCATCAGAAAAGCTTTCACGTACAACCACAAGACTTGTTTCTCAGATAAGTCATTGTCAATCATTCTGAAAACAAGAATCCACTATTAAAAGTATCTAAAGAGAAACATCTTCTCAACACAATATTCATCTCTCAGATAAGAAAATAAATGTGCTTTCAAGAGTAGTTCTAGATCAAAAGAAAAGCTTTGTGTTTCAGGCAGGCTGTTGCCCATAATTTTGAAGACAAGATTTGGCTCTAACCACTCTGGTGTTCCTGCACTATAACAACAAAGTAGTTTCTGAACTACTCACCAGTCAGTCATCAGAAGAACAAAGACAAGTGATTGATATACATAATCAGAAGATAAAGATCAAGAAACTTAGTCAAGAAGAAAATAGTATAATGATAGTACTATTCAAAGAAGTTGTTCTCCCACTGACATACATTATCTACTGCAAGCAGCATGTATAGGAAAGTTATGTTTCGTACTATTCCAAACCTCTCTTGAAGATATCTGTTGGGAATCAACCGTTAGAAGGAGAAAAGACATGTCTATCCTTTCAAGGCTCTTTTATTTTAAGGCTATAAAAGGAGAAATATGATATGAAGAAAAGTTATTGGAAATCCATGAATGCAGACGATGTTGGAGCTGTTACGCTAAACATGATGAAGCTAAGCAAATAAGATGAAGAAGAAGAATTCTATAAGATGTTAATCAAACTACAAATCATATACATCTTGGCAGAACTATGAAAAAGCAAGGAGTTGTTGCTCATATCTTGCTTAATGAAGAAAGAATATGAAGATGAAGAATTCTGCAAGATGTCATTCAAACTATCAATCATATACATCTTGGAAGAATTATGAAGAAGCAAGGAGTTGTTGCTCATAGCTTGCTCAACAAAGAAAATAAAGACAAAAAGACTACAAGATGCTGCACTTAACTTAGATTATATTCATCTTTGTAGAAATATGTAAAACATAAGAATTGTTGCTCAAATTGTGTTATTTCTTAAGATCTTCATGTAAATTGTTTGTACACAAGAGTTGTTGCTTATAATTGTGTCAAACAATATGTACTTAAATTAGGAGTAATATTCTTGATAAGAAGCACTCATGTAATCTCTAGAAAAACAATTTTGTTTAGAATTAGTTGGTTCCTCAAGTGATCGAGTGAAGATCAAAAGACTTGAGAAGACATTGGCTGAGGTCATCATAGATGAAACCCTATTCTAAAGGACCAGTTTGGTCAGAAACCTTATGGGTTCAATGGTCGCTATATCTCTTAGGGGACCAGGAAGGTCAGAATTCTTAAGAGAACACTGGCTAAGGGTCGTTGGGAGAAACCCCTCATAGAAAGATCAAGTTTATCGGATTTCTGATAGGGTCAATGATCGTTATATCTCATAGAGATCATTGAATATATAATTGTGTTGTTCCTTGAGTGACTAGTGTTAGTCAGAAGACTCAAGATGACAATGGCTACGTGTCATTGTGAAATCTTGTTAAGAAAGACCAGGTAGGTCAAATTTCTTAAGAGATCAATGGTTGCTAATCATTGGTTGTGGTTAGTCACCGGAGGGTAGCCTATGCATATGTAATCAGTTTAGTTATAATGGATTAAATCCTTGTTGAAGGCAAAATCACCTGAGGAGGGTGGACAGGAGTAACCTAGTTAACGGTGAACGTAGATAACTAAATGTGTCTCTTTATATTTATTGTACTCTATATTCTTTCATAGTTCAATCAAATAATTTTCTAAAGAGGAATATTTTATTAAAACCCAATTCAAACTCCCTATTTCTTGTGTTTTTCTCTACCTTCAATCATGACCACTTTTCACCAAACCGTCACGTCAAGGACATGCATGAAGATTGTCA